CATTTTCAGGTTTCTCCAGAAATATTTGATTGAGTTCAAGCTCAGGCTCTGGCTGGGCCACTCAGGGACATTCACAGAGTTGTCTATAAGCCACTCTTGCTGTGTGCTTAGGGTCATTGTCCTGTTGGAAGGTAAACCTTCTGCCCAGTCTGAGGTTCTCAATGCTCTGGATTAGGTTTTCATTAAGGCTAACTCAATATTTTGCTGCACTGAGCGTTTCTTCTACTCTGACGAGTCCCCCAGTCCCTGCCGCTGAAAACACCCCCACAGCATGAGGCTGCTACCAGCACACTTTACTTTTGGGGTGGTACTCTGCAGGTGATGAGCATTGCCTGATGAGCAGAGCTAGTTTTCTTCAAACATGATGCTTAGAACTGAGGTTCATCAAACCAAAGACTCTTGTTTCTCAGAGTCTGAGGGTCCTTTAGTTGCAAATTCCAAGTGTCTTCCCTGAGGAGAGGATTGAGTTTGGCCAAACCGCCATAAAGCCCAGATCAGTGGAGTGTTGCAGTGATGTTTGTCCTTCTGTAGTTTTCTCCCATCTGCACATATGATCATGGAGCTCAACTAGAGTGACCATCAGGTTGTTGGTCACCGGTCTAGACAAGGCAGGTAACAAACAGGTAACTCCATTTTTATTTATTTTCTGAAATCATGTTTTTTTTATTGTGCATTCCAAGTAATATCAATCAAACTGCAGTTGGGTTGTTTTGATTGAGTAATAATAACTTAAACAAATACAGGTAACTTAAAAATTAAAGTTCGTTGAAAGTATGTTTTTTTATATATTAAAAGTTTGTTTTATAGCAAAAACAGATGACTCCAACAATCGTTTTTTGGCAAAAGCAGATAACGCCACATTTCGTGTTTTAGAGTTAAACAAAAACACTCGTTTTATCTTTGGAATCTCCTCAGAATACAATGTAGATGCCTGACAAAGGTTGTTGTTGTGATAATAGACTGACTGTTTTTTTTTTTTTTTTAGACTGTATGGTTGTGATTCCACTCAATA